CCAGCAGGCTCAGTTTAGACACATCTGTGATTTTATCACTGGTTCCCTGAGGGTTCCCACCCCTACCTGTCCAGTGGGGCTGCGCCCGCCATCGCTCTCTGTCCGCGGGTAGGTGTTAAACGGCCGTGTGGCTTGTTGAGCAGTTTTCATCACGCCCTCAGACATTGGCAGATTTGGGGTGCGTATGTTGGGTCCTGAGAGAGGCCTCTTGTCTCTGGGAGACTGAGGACTGCTGTCCCGTGCCACGTAGCTGGACTTTGGCCTGTGGTCACCAGGCTGATCCCGCTGAGCCCCATGATCCTGAGGAGAGGGAAAAATCCAGAGAAAGTAAATTAATGGGAAGTACTCACGGAGAGACCGACAGAGAGGAGGTGCTTGTACTGCCTGTTACGCTTTTATTTTCTGTAATATTTATTTATAAATGGTGAATGGAATTGCACTTACACAGTGCTTTTCTACTCTGAGCACTTAAAGCACTTTGTGCTACAAGCCTCATTCACCCACTCACACACATTCATACAGCGTTTAATTCTGTGGCTAAGCAACTTCTATAAGAATCACTATTTTGCGAGAGTATGTGGGCTAAAGGAGCAAGGGGTCAAACTGAACCACAACCAACCTTTTGTTATAATGTTCATGTCAAACATGACCAAATTTCCAATCAGTGTGAAGCAAAAGGCTTCAGATTACTCTCAGTTTCAACATTTTTTCCCCTACTTTTGGATAAATGTGATGACGCCTTCTGTTTGTGAGGGGGGAGTCAATCAGAAGAAAACTGGGCAAGAACTGAGCATCAAACAGCCTTAAAAATAATAATAATACAGCTGTGAATGTGAATCCAGGTTCTTCCGTGTCTACCTGGTCTCTGTCCCGAGGCTGTCTATCTCTGTGAGGGGGAGGAGGGGGGCCTTGTCTGTCCCTCTGGGCTCTGTTGGGCTCTTGACCCCGGGGCTGCTGTTGGGGGCGGCCCTGGATCACCTCATCTGTGTGAGGAGGACGGACTCCGCGCTGACCTTGGTGGCGGGGGTCACCTCCGCTCTGCTGGTCTTGTCTGAGTCGGTCTCTGAAAATCACATCGACACAAATGTAAATACAGAACAAATTTATAATAACTTTATATTATTTCATTAATTTGCATTTTATTTATTTTCAAGTTGTTTCCAGTTGAGTTTTTATTGTTTGAAAATGTTGAGTTTTAGTATTTTTATTGATTACAGTTTATTACAGAGGGTGTTTGTCTGTTCAAAATAGACTTTATGATATAAACATAGCTTGCAGTGAAGACAGATGACTCACAGTCATGTTGACATGCCAAATCTGAATGAACAAAAGGACTGAAGCCTCATTAGGCAGGTTGTGTAAAGAAGAACGAAAGCAAAGACATTTCCTGTACAGTTTTCTTTCTGTTTAATTATTTTTTGTAAACGGAGGTCATTTCAGTTAAGTGAAAAAACTATAAAGGTGTGTGGTATACATTTTAGTTATCCCACCAAAAAAGATGGAAAAGCAATTATCCGAAAGAAGATCTTGCACTTAAATAAAATACAAAAATAAACAAACACAGACAATATCTTTAGTTTTACTTTGCTGCAGATGTTTATTGAGACTGGGATGTCTACATGACTGTGCTGACAACCTGAAAAAATGCCACGTAATAAAAAACAAAACAAAAGCTAAACAAACAGAGTAACCAAAAACTGAAACTTAACACAAAAACTACTTAAAATATAAAAGAACATTTATGGTAAGTACACAATATCATTTCAGTATAGTTTAGATTTCATGACAATTTACTAAGTTTCTTCACTCCTACTTGTAGACTTAGACTTATAGTTTTCTTAAACTAATCTAATTAAGTAATCCAATACTCATGAGTAAGCTTCCTTTAGCTGGTCCTGAAAACGTTTGGTGTGTAGGAGTAATGGTGCCTTCCAGAGGAAGTCAGAATTGGAACACGCCCTTATCTCAGCCTCATCAACCCGAGTTAACATCCAAAATGGTGGCAGTGAACGTAAACAGTACTAAAATATGTAAAACTTGTAATGCCACTGTTGTGCATTTGTGACTCACTAAATAAGCTATGGATAGTCCAGAGATTAGGATGCATCCATGAACGTGCTGTAGGTGTTTTGTTTTATGCTGTATTGGTAATGGATTGGATTTATATAGCGCTTTTCAAGGCACCCAAAGCACTTTACAATGCCAACACCAGTAGGCGGTAGGGTAACGTGTCTTGCCCAAGGACACAACAACCAGGACAGAGAGCCCGGAGATCGAACCAGCGACCTTCCAGTTACAGATATGCCTTCCAACCCCCTGAGCCACAGTCGCCCCAAATAGTAATGGACGAATTGCTCTACCTTGCTAAGAAGCAAAACAAACCCTGCTTTTCCGTTTTTTCGACTTTACCAGAACGCACTCAACAGTTCTGACATCCAACTTCCGAGGAATCTGGAACGAGGCAAATATGCACGATTATCACTCCACGGGGAGCTGTAGTTCATCGTCTCACCTGTCTTGTCTGTCTGAGTAGTGTCTGTGTTGAGGATCTCCGTTCTCCTGCCCTCCACCTCCTCCTGAAGAGCTCGAGTCCCTGCGAGGGTGTGTTGGAGGACTCCCTCGCCGCAGGGAGTTGGAGCGAGTCACGGACATGGTGTCGAACTCATCCAACAGCCATGTTAGAGACTCTGTTCCCATCCTGCTGCCGCGTACGATGGTCTGGAGATTTTTAAAAAAAAAAAGGAGGATACATTACAATCTGTAAAGTTAGCAGGTTACAGGGCTGGCAGCGTGTTTGTTTTGTATAAAAATGACTAAAAACTATAATCACGAGAATATTTTTAGATCGTCTATCACTAAAGAATCAGTTTGATAAACTCAATCTCTGATTTTCGCTCACCTTTCGCGGTTCTACAGTAGTGATGATGGTCGCGTCGATAAAGGGTTTGGGCCTCTGCGCCGTGTCTTCGATGAGTGACTGCCATTGCCGCGGCAGCCCGACAAACTTCTGCTCCTGCTCGTCAAAGTCCGTGTGCACACGGTGCTCAAAGTTGGACGGAGCTGAGATCTGGATACGAGACTTCTTCTTTTTGGCAAACATGATGGCAGCTGTGGCCGAGCATCAGACCTGTGTGGAGGAAGGTGGAAAGGGATGAAGGCTAACAGAAAGTAACAGTAAGGAGAAAATGCAAATGTAAAACTCCCAAGTAAAATATGTAAAACACATCACACATGCATGCTCACAGGCAGCGACGCTCGAAAACAACTGCTGTCAAGCTTTAAAAGTCACATCTCATTTAAGGGTTTTAAAGGCTGTGGATGAAGTCTTCTCAATGAATCACTTTCTAAAAGTCTCAATTTTCTTGTCATGGTTTTAAAATGACTCAGGTTTAATTTGCATCATATGTTTGATTAAGCTCCTTTTATCATGCGTTCTGTTTTACTTGTTCTTTAAACACTCAGTTACACCATTTGTTTATTTTAAGTTTTCTTTTTTAATTTATCATATTTAAAGCGCTTCTCTCTCTCCCCCATGTGGCTCTGTTTTATGATGAACCTGATGAAGTCCACAAACTGAAACCGATCAGTCAAATAAAGGTGTCCTACACAGTAAGAATTGCTGGAGGTCGGCAGAAGTAAACTCAAATATCAAACAGTTTCAAGAAATCTGCAGGTGTTTCCAACCAAACGTTACTATTAAGACAAAGCAAAAGTACTTTCAGTCCACTCTGAGAGCCCTCGTGCTTTTTTCTTAGCAGATATTTTTTGCTTGTCAGTGTAAATTTGTGTGTTTTTAGAGAGACAGACTCAATTCGTTTTTAAAAACATGATTAGGCTGAAACAAACATACTAAACGAGTCGTCTTTCGTTGTACTGCTTTGGCCGCTTGCAGACGTTAATCGAGAGTCAAATGATTCAAAATCCTGTGACTTTTTAACCATTAAAACCATTAAATAATTGTGATTTCAACTTATCACCGTGTGCAAGTGGGAGGATGTCTGAGAACTTTTCCCACGCCCTTTATCTCATCCTGCAACATTTTCCTTCGAGGACTGATATTAGAGGGCCATAAGACGACGGAATAAAGAGTGGTTTTAATATTTTCGATATTTAACTTGTTGGAAGGACTGTGAGGCCCCACTCAGGATTGACACTCGCTTTTTACTTCAGCTGAGGGTTCTGCCATCC